TTCAGCCTCCCTGGATATAGTGATAATTTTGATACCACGCAAAAGTAGAATCCATTCCATATATATTCCTCTGATGTGCCCAGCACAAAACAGCACTGTTAAGTATATCCTTTTAGAACAAAACTGTGAAAATCTAGTAGATTAGTGAAGCTAAAATATATTTGACCAAGGTTTAAACAATGTTAATCAAGTATAATTATTCACTGAAGTTTCAGAGAATTATGAAGTTCCTTATGAATCTGTACAAAGTATAAGGTGTGTTGAGTGAACTGTTATAAAAATTATGAACTTGTGTCTGTGATGGTAAGTTTGCTTGATACTTCAGAAATAAAGACTTCCACATGTCTTTGATTCCTGCTGAACCTCTGTTCATGACTAAAACTCTTCAGTGTGAGCCTTTCATGGGATAAGGCAGAAAGAATAATTCTACATGATGTGACAAACACTTAGCTGTCCTTGATTAGGGTGGAGTGGGCATTGAATAATGCACACAGAGATGATGGTATGTGTGAAAAAGATACTCCTGATTCCCAAAATAAAAACCACATTTATACAGCACACTCACGGAAGAACTTGCACCTTGCTCAGGAATACAAAACCATCTTAAGAAACTGAAACTGATAAAGGAAAACAGTTCTGTGTTGAAAGAACCTATAAAGAATCAACAGAACTAAAAGCTATCATTTGGACTCTAGTGAGCCTTTCTGCTAGAAATCTAGAGGAATGGTAAGAAATAAAACACACTTGTTGAGGCACATTTCGTGTTATAAAAAGCTGAAAGTGTGCAGCTAGTTTTGAATGTCATACAGGTATCCAATTTCCTCTTTAGAACCAGTTCTACAGATTTTGCTGCTTTAGATTGATTGGAAACAACACAAATTTGGGGTTTAAATTTAGACTGACTAAAAATCCAATCAAGAAGATTTTTACTAGAACATAGAATTGTACTCCCAGCTCTGATTTTTGACAAGTCAGAAACTCTCTGAGCCTGAGAGAAACACTGGGAGCTTCTGAGTTTTAAATCCTGTGATCACTGGTTTGATTGGGATTAAATTCATTCTCGTCCATACATTCAACAAATATTTATTGAGTACCTACCAGTGTTGTTAGGCACTGCTTTAGTCTCTAGGAATACAGTAGTTTTTCCTTGCCAGTCTTTGGAAATACATTAATGCAGTTCCCCAATTTTTAGAAGAAATGAAGATCCTGAGTAATCAGTGTCTCTCTGAAGGGATGTTATTCACAGGAGGCAAAGCTGGCCCCAGCTTGTACCAGCCGAGGCCTCTCTGCAGTATGTTCCGCTGCCTTTGATTTTCATATTGGGTGATGGGGTGGCTATCTGTAGCATTCTACCCTGCAGTTTCACCAGATATGTATTTTTAAATAATGTTTTTGGAGTTGGTACAATAGGCAAACTAGGATCTACTTGCAATTAAGAGTATTTCTTTTTAAAACTTTAACTTTTAAGTTCTTAGACCAAAAAGAAAATGAGAATCTAATACATGCAAACATCCAGATTCCCTTAACTGTAGTTAAAAACATAACTGCAAGCAAATGTCAAACCAGAATGCCAAATGACAGCTTTCAGTTCTGTTTCACAAGTTGTTCTAAAAGAGATGTCTTCACATTTTCAATCAAAGAGATAATTCTTATTTTGCCACAACTCTTGCCTCTGTTCAAAGCAGTAAGTCTGTGATGATATAAGAAGTCAGCCTCTTGCTCTAAGAGCTGTTGATGGAAAGGAAATCAGAGAAAGAAGTGAGTCTTGGGGAATAACCCCCGACGAGGTTTGTTATTTATAAATGATATTACTGAGGACACTTCATTTCATAATCCTTTACACTAATAGGATAGCATCCAAATTGAATCACTCCATGGACTAATCTCTGTAAGTCTAAGAGGAAGGCAGAGAGATAATCTTGAGTTCAACAGACATTTACTGAATATCTACATCACCAGTGCAGGGTATAAAACTTAATAAGATATGATCTTCAAGGGGTTAGCAATGTAAGGAAAGATGAAAGGGAGGGAACTAATACATCCTGAGCACTGACAATCTACCAGGCACAATACTAGATGCATCTACCTTCACAAGAAGATCGTGATACGCCCATTTTACAGATAAGGAAAATGAACCTTCAAGCTTGTCCAAACTTAAGACTGATCAAATTGAAATTTAAACCTATGTTTGCCTAACTCTAAAGTCCATGATCTCACTTATATGTGGAATATAATGAACAAAATAAACTGACAAGCAAAATAGATCCAGAGACATGGAAGCATGGAACAGACTGAAGGAGCTCAGAGGGAAGGAAGGAAGGAGGGGTAGGAAGATATTAACCAAAGAACTTATATGCATATATGCATAACCCATGGATGCAGATAATAATTCGGTGAAAGCCTGAGGAAGGGGTGGGAGTGGGGCAGAGCAGGTCAATGGGGGAAAAGCAGACATCTGTAATACTTTCAACAATAAAGATAAATTTAAAATAAATAAATAAATAAATAAATAAAGCCCATTTTTGAAAATACTAAGCAACACTACCACAAGGTCACAGAACCTTAAAACATTGTTTCCAAATCCCTTTCTATGTTCCATACTTCTTATTGCTTCTAGCCTCTATGAAAATAGGACAAGCCTCAATAAAGTAAACCCTAATCGTCTCTTGCTATAGAATGTGTTGTGAAATGTATGTATTATAGCTCCACTTCTGATTTTGCCAAGAAACCTGAGAGTAGAAGACAAAACTCACCATGTTATATTTATAGTGAATGGGAGAGTCCTGAAAGAGTGGG